ATAAAATTAATTTTAATAAGAAAATATTTTTGTTTATATTTTTGCCTTGGACCCGTATACGGTATACCTAGGCAGGATCTTATTTACACTCTCAAAGTTAATTAGCACATTTCCCATCATCCGTATTCGAACTTTTGATTTTGAAAACTCTTTTGTTTAAGGTTGGTAGATTTTACGTCGGTTGAACTATACTGATTCTAGATTTCAGTAGTTTTTTTTCCCGGCTATAGTAGAGTTATTTCAATTTCTAATTCTGTTCTCTACAGAAATTTTGATCACTCTTTAGTTCTTTCTCATATTTTTATTACAATCAACTCAGGAGAAGTAAAGAATACGTTCTAGTTTCTTACAAGTTAAAATGTTTAAATATGCCACAAGAAAACCAACACTAATATCAGCAGTTGGTGAGACGTTGATTTCATATTCGATCTGAATATGAGTTTTAGGTGATAAAGGATATGGTTGGCAATGTGTGCGGCTTTTGGGAAAGCACATGAACGCGATTGGCGAAGTAATTTATGCTTCAAATCCGATGCAAAAGAACTTATTCCAGCTATCAAAGCAGAGACCTATAGTAAGGAGATCTATGGATCATAAAAGATATCAAACAATTAGCTTCTTGGTTCTCTACCATCTCTTATGAGTATGTTATACAAAATTCGACAATGTTTTAGCAGATGTTTTAGCTAAAAGTGCATTTAATATCATTATAGCACCTTAAACCGACCTTTCGAAAGGATATGGTATATATCCTTGCACAATATATGTTTAAATATCATTTTGGATCAGGATAAGATATGGAACAAATGGTAATAGTGTTGGAGCTAGTTATGTGATTTTAACAATTTTTTTAGTTGATTGAAGAGTTTTTGATTGAAGTTCATGCTCTCTTTTTTTTTATAACCAGAGTGTGATCGGGGTTTTTACCACCCGACTAATCTTTCAAGAGAAGTGTAATCGTCGAGTAGTCCATTCATCGGGTTTTCTAATAGACGTAAAACGTGGCACTATTTCGATTGGCCAAATAGAGGTGAAAGTGTTTTCAGAGAAATTTTTTTATTGAAATTTAATTATTCTCCCAAGCAAAATTTGAATTTTTGTATCTGGAGCGCAACCACCTTCGGAAATTAACAGCGACAGGTAAAAAACTATATATATGCGTTGAAGTTTCTAGTTTCTGAAAAGTGAAAGCTAGTGATAAATGATCATTAGAGCATCATTACTCATGAATTCTTAGTGGGTTTTTGGGCTAAAAAAATATTAAAAAATGGGAAAAAGGCTCAAAACTGGATGAAACATCTCAACCCACTGAGCTGGATGAGGCAGTTCATCTGGACAGGTGTCGTCCATTTAGAGGTTGTGTCTTTAGGGTATCCGAAAGACACAAATTG